CTACATATCGTACTGTGTATGACTGTGTACGTGACAAATAAAATTTGAATTTGATTTGAATTTGAAATTTGGATAGCATTAATCTATTTATAATGGATAGATCCAAAGTTAAAGCTGGAAATGATGCATTATGCAAATTGGGTTTTTTTGCATTATATGGTCATCTTCAAATTTTCTGAGGCTTTAAACAAAATTACGAAAACAACTGTACAACGCTGCTCTGATTACAGCAAACAGAGCTGCAAAAAGTAGCAGCCTTTGTTTCTACCTGTTCATGCTCTGCAGTAGACTTGCAGCAACAAGCTTATGTACAGTGGCTTGCAAAAGTTTTCGGCCGTCTTGAACTTTTCCACATTTTGTCACATTACAGCCACAAACATGAGTCAATTTTATTGGAATTCCACGTGATAGACCAATACAAAGTGGTGTACACGTGAGAAGTGGAACGAAAATCATACGATTCCAAACATTTTTTTACAAAAAATAACTGAAAAGTGGGGTGTGCATAATTATTAAGAGTCAATACTTTGTAGAACCACCTTTTGCTGCAATTACAGCTGCCAGTCTTTTAGGGTATGTTTCTACCAGCTTTGCATATCTAGAGACTGAAATCCTTTCCCATTCTTCTTTGCAAAACAACTCCAGCTCAGTCAGACAAAATGTGGAAAGGTTCAAGGGGGCAGAATCCTTTTGCAAGCCACTGTATCTCACTGCGCAAGGACCTTGTGTTTCCTGTGATAATAATTGAAGTGTGCTTTTCCATTTTGGCTCAAATAAGTCTGATGTTTGAAGGCATGCAGAGATGGAAAAAAACAAAACAAAAGCAAAACCCTCAAATATGTTAAACCCAACGAACAAGCCTATTCTGAAAATGTAATGGCCAGAAAGGAGGTGTTTATATTCAGCTGTTGGGGCAAAAGTCAAAAGTTATTCAAAAGCTAACAAAGTATTTCTACTTTGTTGTTTCCCACCACCTGCAGGTAAAACCTCCTGAAAACCCTTCAGCAGGTTCAAAACCAAGGTTATCATAAATATGAAATAGAAATATTAAATGAAAACCAGACCAAGAAAAACCCAAAACAAAACAAACTTAATTGGAAACAATTTTGTGAGCTTGGATCACTAAGCTAAAATACAATACAAATAGAGGAAATATCTTCAGTTTTAGTATTGGTTAGTCTATACACACAAACTCTTGTGTACACTGTATATACAAATGTTTTCTAGGCTGAATTTGTTCCTTATCTACAAACTGCATCAGACCTTCTGTGTACCAACAAGTGAAGTTTCAGAAAACCTTTTCAAACCGAATACTACTAAATATTAAAATCTTTAATTTTAATAATCATTGTTATGTTAATAACAGCACGGTGGCACGGTGGTTATCACTGTTGCCGCACAGCAAGAAGGTCCTGAGTTCAATTCCACCATCAGGCCGGGGTCTTTCTGTGTGGAGTTTGCATGTTCTCCCCGTGTTTGCGTGGGTTCTCTCCGGGTACTCCGGCTTCCTCCCACCGTCCAAAGACATGCAGCTTGTGGGGATAGGTTAATTGATTAATCCAAATTGTCACTAGGTGTGAATGTGCGAGTGAATGTGAGTGTGAATGGTTGTCTGTCCCTGTGTGTTGGCCCTGCGACAGAGTGGCGACCTGTCCAGGGTGTACCCTGCCTTTCGCCCTATGACAGCTGGGATAGGCTCCAGCGCCCCCCGCGACCCTGAAAAGGATAAGCGGAAGCGAATGGATGGATGGATGGATGTTAATAATTATATTTAACTTACTGTCTGTGTATGTTCTCAATCACCCAGGCTATAGTAAAACAAGGAGCTTGGAAAGAAAAGCAACTGGACTTCTTTAAGTTTCTTGACGATATTTCACCTCTTGAAGCTTCTCCAGTTCTGTTTCTTCAGAACTGGAGAAGCTTCTTCCTTTCCAAGCTCCTTAGATTCCTTACAGTATGCACCCCCTTCTTCATTTCCATTAGCAACAAACATGTTCTGTCAATGAAGGCCCAGGAAGACAGTCACTTAAATTTTATTTTATTCAAAGACAGAGATCCAAAATGTTTTCAAGTCACCTGATCATTTTCTTATGACTACTTTATGTTGCTGATAAATACTATAATTTTAATAAATTAAATTCATCAGTAACACAGGTCAGTATTAGTGTCTGTCCGTCCTTTTGATACAATACACTTGCAGTATCATTACTCGATACAACATTTCATAGACACATAAATGATTCATGGCACCTGAATCAATGTGAAACCCTACAGTATGGCTTTTTTATTCCTTCCCGTGGAATCAGCGTGGCTTATGTTGCATCATTAGATCACATTAATTTAGTCTATTTGTTCCCTGACTGTTAGTGTTTTATCTGTTCAGGCCTATAATAGCCATACAGGATCTTCAAATGCTCACACACAGCATGCTAAAACAGCAGTATCCAAACAGGGCATGCATGTGTCACTGATGCTACACCACCCTCTGCCTGTCCCGCTGGCTCACAGGCAGTCCCGGTGGTTTGAGGGAGGAGGGAATGGGCAGCTCGAGTAGGCTGTCCGGAAAGCTGGCAGGGCTCAGCTGCTGTAGAACAGTCTGCATGGCGCTGAGAACCAACGGCGCCGGGCTCCTTCCCGACAGGTACAGGTAGGTCTCCTCGCCTAGCATCTTGCTCCAGCGCTCCGATTCTCCAACCAGAGCTTCCTTCATTTTGAAGCGAACTTTTGGCATAAACAGGAGCAGGTTGTCCAGACACCGCCTTTTCTCCCCACTTCTGACCACCGTAGAGTCTCTGAGCTTTTCCAAAGTAATGTCCAGCGGGGTCAGGCCGTTGTGGTCTTGGGCGTACGGGGACGCCCCGCTCCCCAGGAGCAAGATGACCGCCTCGGGACGCAGAAGCTCGCAAGCCAGATGTAGCGGGGTTCTTCCGTCCTCGATGTGAAAACACCCGGCTCGGTCCGTGTAGGACGGGGTAATGGCTATACGGTGGGTTTCTTGTAAGATGAGGCCGAGAATGTAGCGTCTGTCGTAGCGAACAGCCATAGCGAGGTGAGGCGCGGAGGACGGACAGGGGCAGAAGCGCTCCCCGGGTTTTGCTAGCGCTTCATCCGTGTATCGGCTGAGGAGGTACTGAGCGTACGCCTGGTGGTCATGAACTATAGCGTACAGCAACGCCTCCGACGGGCTGTAAATCCTCTGGCTAGAGTCCTCGTCCAAGTAAAAAGTTTCCATCGTCCGCATGTCCTCCAACATCCAGACCGGCTTTAGGTCCCGCACGGCCCGGTAGAAGAGCAGCGAGAAGGACTTTCGATGCTTCTCGACGCTCCGAGCCTCCGAAGTGACGGTTAAAGAGGCCATGGCAACCCGAGTGATATAAATTCCCAGAACCTTACACGGTTTCATTCACAGAGCGCAAAAACTACCATTTTCCCAACAGAAGCTCGAGTCCAGGGACCTACTGAGTCAGTGTTTGAAATAACCGACATTCCTGTAGCTGCTCGAGCCCTCTGCAGTACTGTGCGAGGGCGCATGCGCACAACGTACAAACGTCAAAAGGTTTTACAAACTTTATTGACAGTTGAGCTGTGAGCTGATTATAAGGGCTGTGTCCAAACTCGGGGGCTGGGCTGCATCCTTGGAAGGATAAAAGATAGACAAGTTACTTTGACATCTATGTTCAAGTGCATTTTGGTGCTGATGCTACGTTTACTAATCTACAACTACTGCTATCACAATTAAGAATGACCTGCGGTAGCGCTCCTTCCTGCATTGTGGGTGCGAAAGTCTCCTGCTGAACGAGCTGCTCAGTGCTTATACAGTCTCATGCACGGGGTGGGAGGTGTTGTTCATGATGGATGTTAGCTTATTCAATTCAATTCAATTTCTTTATTGTCCCACAGGGGGAAATTAGTTTAGCAGCAGGATAAAAATAAACAGAACAATACTATAAAATAATAACAACAATAATAATGATAGAAAGTTCAAGGACAATTATTTACCATTAAGGAGACAAGACCCAGTAGGGATAAAAGAGACCTGGAGTCTTTTAGTCCTCCTTGGAGGTACTCTAAAACGGCGGCCGGAAGGCAACAACTCAAACTCACTGTGAAGTGGATGGTTCACACAATTAATAATAGAATGAGCCTTTCTAAGCACATTTCTATTGTAAATGGCCAAAAGTCCATCTTGCCAGCGCCCTGAAATTTTGCTAGCAGTTTTTACCAGAAGTCCCAACCGATTCTTATTCTTCAGGTCAGGTTACCAAACCATGCAGCAATACAAAAAGACATCACAGATTCGATAAAATATCTATAAAACAAGGACAACATCTCAGATGAGACATTAAAAGATCTCATTTTCCTTAAAAAGAACAGTCTTTGTTGAACTTTTTTAGTAGTGGCATCAGCATGAGATTCAAAACACAGTTTATGGTCAAGTACCACACCTAGATATTTATAACTCTCAATGATCCCAATATTGGCAGTTTTAATGATAGTAGGTGATGAACTATAAGAGGACTTCCTAAAATCAATAATCATGTCTTTAGTTTTTGACACATTAAGTGACAGGAAGGACTCATCACACCAATTCACAAAATCATCTACCACCTGTCCATGGCCTGACTCATCCCCCACTAGAAAACTGACGATTACTGTGTCGTCAGCAAACTTCAGGATGTGTCTGTTCGTGAAATTGCTGCGACACTCATTTGTGTACAGAATGAACAGAAGGGGAGAGAGGCAACAACCCTGGGGTGATCCAGTAGAGGAGGAGAGCACATCAGAAAAGACACGATTCACCCTCACGCATCGTGACCTATTAGTCAGAAAGTCCGTCACCCAGCCGACCAGACTAGTGTCAAGCTTAAAATGATTGTAAAGCCTGTCAGCAAGTAAGAGGGGTTGAATTGTATTAAATGCAGATGAAAAGTCAGCAAATAATAATCTTGCATGGGTGTGAGGGGCCTCAAGAGTGTGACAGCAGCATCCTCCACACCTCTTCCTGCTCTATAGGCAAACTGGAAGGGGTCAAGATGGTGTTCAACATGCATTAAAATCTCCTTCTTAATTATCTTCTCAAATGTCTTCATCACTAAAGAAGTCAGAGCCACAGGCCTAAAATCATTCAGTGCCAGGAGAACTGCCCTTAGCAACAGGAACAATAATAGCATGTTTCCAAATCTTAGGCACTGTCTGTAGCTCTAAAGAAAGTGAGAAGATATAGTGAAAAATCCCACTCAGCTGATCAGCACAAGTTCTCAGTATCTGTCCACAGATGTTGTCAGGTCCAGGACTCTTGCTTTTGGTGTGTCAACATAATTTATACTGAATTCAGCACAATGCCACTCAACTACATACATTATTAAGAAATCCAGAAATGCAGAAATGTTGGGCTTGTGACAAAGGTGACAGGCTCAAGGTGTAATAGTAATTGAAAAAAATCAACACAGAAGCATGAGAAGGATTTCTCTTATTCTCATTTTTGATCATTTCTCTGGAGATGATCAGTTAGCTGTTTGACAACTACTCAGTCTTTCAAGAATTTTGGAGATAAAAGGAAGGTTAGAGATTTGCCTATTATTAGCTAAAACTGCTCGGTCTAGTAACAGTTTAAATACTGCCAGCTTGAAGGCCTGTGGTTCATAGCTGGTTAATAGAGATTGAAACATTAATTAATGGAAGGGCCTCTTTGAGGAGTCTTAGGAATAGGGTCTAAAAGACACATTGTTGGTTTGGAGGAAGTCATTACTGAAGTTAACTCAGAAAGATCAATTGGAGAAAAAGACTCCAAATAGATATCAATGGTACTGAAAGTAGCTGTATATAATGCCACATCTATGAGATGGTTGTAACTTTTTCCTCTAATGGTTAGCTAAATTATGAAGGCATTACTAATTAACATTAAAGGAATGGTTGGCTCAACAGAGCTCTGACTTTTTGTTAACCTAGGGTTGTTCTTATTTTCTTTAATCAGTGCTGAATAATAAGATGTTCTAGCTTTATTGAGAGCTTTTTTATAAAGCAGCAAACTATTTTTCCAGGCTAAACGATGATGATGATGTTGCCATTTTCTTTCCAGCTTAAGAGTTATCTGCTTTAATCTGGATGTTAGAGAGTTAAAGCAGGTAGTCAAGTATTTTTGATTTGAGGCTCAGTTTTTCAGATGAGCTACAGTATCCAGAGTCCAGAAAACATTTGACACAGGAATAGAATCTCATCAGGCTCTCTATAACCAATCACTCTCACAGGGAAAACGCCAGGGCTTTTGCACAGATGAGATGACAAGTTCGTAATCTTCAAGGTAACAGAGACACAGACTTAAAGATTGAAGATGGTTTCACTAATAGTAGTTCGTACAGTGCTCAGGCAAAGAATGAAGCTTTGTTCCCAGCTTAAGTAGGAGCCAGCTGATCATCAATTGACAAATAGGTGAGCTTGATTACTTTAGGTGTGCCCAGGAGGAGGGCAGAAATCCCAGAAGTTTCCCGTCCCTGCAGGCGTAAGGTGTAGTTAACAGATATGCACACAAATACACTACGCTGAGACAGAGCGAGCGAGAGAAAGAAAAGTGGAGAGAGACAGAAAGAAATGGCAGAGGTGCATAGAAACGTCCCCGCATCCACACACTCCACAGTTATTGTACATTTCAAATTTCTCGTTTAGCACTAAATCACAACAGTTGCCACAAATATATATAAAATATGCCAGTCCTTAATTATTAAGGATTGGCATAGGTCTCAAGCTCTTTGTCTTTGTAGCTCAAGAGCTCTTTTAATTCCTCTCCAGAAGTCTTTGGAACTGCAACTAGTGGTAAGAAAGAATTAAGATGATGTCAGGTGAGGTAAGAAAAGGCTTTTCCTTGGTTAGGGTTAGTTTTGTGAATGATGCAAAGGTGCTTGCCATTATATTTGGGACAGGGCCACTAGAAGTTGTGGTGTAGTGCTTGATGGTTGAGAGCACGTCACCTCTGAACCCACAGTTATAGATAGCCGGTCCTGTCTACTTATTACTCGGCCTGCTCTACATCCTTGACTTTCATTTTCTGCCCTGTTAACAAAATGACAAAAATACAGCGTTTATTATTATTTATACCTTTTGAATAAAAAAAGTACATGAAACATCATTTATGTAGGAGGGTTGCCAAACCAAGGACAGTGGATTTTAGAAAGTCCTGCTTTCTGAGACACCAACCGTCACTTTTAGAGAAACCAGCTCTCTTCCACACACATCTCATATTTAAATTTGCGGACTTCTGCATTCAGGACACTTTTGGGTGAAATTTAGCGGATTTGCCAATGTGCAGATTCGGTAAAACAGGCTCTGCATACCTTGTTTTCTGCCAGCGATACCCTCCGTGTCCCTTCCGCTCAGCCAAGGTCCAAATCGAGATCAGCTACCAAGATCCGGGTCACGGCACCAAATTGTCAAGACAACGCCAGTCTCTCCGATCCTTTTGTCTTGGTAGACATCACGCAGAGATGTTTACAAGTTTTACACACAAAACAGTGTCGGACTCTGTAGTTTTCTCTGGTCCCCTCCCCAATCTGACCAGGAGTGACATGTTTAGCCGCATGTTCTCCTTAAATTGTTGGCTGTCTGAGTGGTGTCCAAAAAACAATGTGGGCTTTATAGATAATTGGGAAACTTTCTGGAGGAAACCTGCCTCTCTGCAGCTTCTCTCCTCCTGTTATCTCCCCAAACTCCCCTTAGAGACTGTGTCAGCTCAAAAAACAAACTAAAAACCAGCAAAAAATGACTTAAACATTAAAAAAAAAAAACACAAAAAAGAACAATACAGTATCCACATCTGCACCAAAGAGTAAAACAGTGAAATGTTGCTTATTAAACATTAGGTGTCTCTCTTCAAAGTCTCTGTTAGTACATGACTTAACAATTGATCCACAAATCAATTTACTCTGCCTTACAGAAACCTGGTTAGAGCAGGATGATTATGTTAGTTTAAATGAATCAACACCCCCGAGTCATTCTAATTATCAGAAACCTTGAAGCACAGGCCGGTCTGTCTGATTTCCTGTTGTGGGTGATTTTAACATCCATGTAGATGCTAAAAATGACAGCCTCAACATAGCATTTAATCTGTTATTAGACTCAATTGGTTTCTCTCAAAATGTAAAAGAAGCCACCCACCACTTTAATCACACTCTAGATCTTGTTTTAACATATGGCATAGAAACTGAACATTTAACAGTGTTTCCTGAAAACCCTCTCCTGTCTGATCATTTCCTGATTAATTTACAATAATTGATTACACAGCAGTGGGGAGTAGATTTCATCACAGTAGATGTCTGTCTGACAGTGCTGTAACTGAGTTTAAGAATGTAATCTACCCACTGTTATCATCTTCAATGCCCTGTACCAACACAGAGCAGAGCAGCTACCTGAATGCTACTCCAACAGAGGTCGATTATCTTGTTAATCATTTTGAAGCCAGATAACACACACCAATTAGTTAAACTGCAGGAATGTCTTAAAGACATAAAGACCTAGATGACCTCTATACTGCTTCTAAATTCAGATAA